ACCGCCTAGCTACCTCGTATATCTTTGGTTGAAACCATCACACCGTTACACAGCCCCGCTACGCATCCTCGTTGCCATTGCCCTTTAAATTGGAAGCTATGCCCGGACAAAACCGCAGAACACTGCGACTGGCATTTCCGGCACTAGCCCGGAGAGCTAGTAGAGGATAATTTAGATATCCTCCGGTCCCTTCAGCCGCTTAGGTTATTGGGAACTGGAGAGACATCGTTTTTCGGCATCGGGAAGTGAGCATGCCTTACAGCTCCGTTAACATTGAGTAGATTTGGTAGTGAACTCAGTCGACGGCTTTGCAGTCGCAACCACTAATTGTGCAATACGCAACGGGAAGTGAGCGTGGCTACAGCTCCGGTACCTACCTGGAAAATAGGGAGGGTACTGTACGTGCACCCGGGGCGGCTCACCTGAGGCACTAGCCTGTCGAAGAACCGGATAAAGTCAAATGACGGAGGTCTGTGACAACCCTGTACACTGGTAGATCTGGGGTCAGAACCTAAACTTATAAGGATCCTGTGCGCGCACAGGTTATAGCGCCCTTCTCGGATACCCTAAGGGTCGGTAGGGAGGGTCACTATAATCAAAACCAATGTAAAAGTATATGGGGCTGTCGAATTCTGCCTCCTAAGATACAGGATTCCCTAGTTTAAAAGGCAGGATAATCTTGTGACTGTATAATTTCGGCTTCTAAAAATATTGTAACCAATTTATTACTTGTGATTTAGAAACAAACATTAAAAAAATTGTATACGTGAAATTTTAAAACTGTCCTATTTAAGTTTAAGCTTAAAATACTTATCGGCTTATTTCGTTAGCAGAATCTTCAAACCTCTTTCCTCAAAAGTCGTCGTTTTGCAGATACGGACAAAAAGGAATCGTTAAAAATGTATACCTATCCTGTAGTGTCGTTGGAAATATATTTTCAAGATGTCATTAGATCCATGTATGTTATGTCTAAATCGATGCTGGGCATCTCTCCTTTTCTTTTTGAACAATGATAATTATTACTGAGATTTACGAATTAAACCACAATTAACCTAATCAACTAACACATATATAATATTTGTACGTAGTAAATAAATAAATTGCCGCCGCTGCGATTGACTCCACGTCCATCTTCGCCCTCGACAATCTGACGAATGAACACAGCCATCGTGTGGATAACGCCACAATAATGGCGGCCACCACGTGACATCGAGATGGCCATTGTGATGGCCCATCGTGTAGAGGGGGCGTAACACGTATACCTATGCACGGTCTGTGAGACCGAAAGGTCGAAAGCCATCTCGTTTTAGATTTTTAGTATGTTGTTTAGTAAAATATCATAGTAAAATTATTAAATATACTAAAAGGAAATGTATAAAATTATATCAAGCAAAGTTTTATACAAAATATTTTTTTTTATTAGGTACGTTACATTATTTCTAAAAGCCACTAAAACTTGAACAAAAATATACTTTTTATAGTTTCAAAATAAAAGAAACTCTGAAATGTAAAATACATACATATAACTTGCTCAAAAATACTTCTTGGTGTTACCGATGAGCATTTTTGTTCCACTTCATTTGACTATCTTTGTAGGTAGTAGACTACAAACTTTTCCTCACTTTCAGGAATATCTCCTGCAATTTGTCATTTCTTACTTGCTGCATTTCTATATCAACCTCAAAATCACTCTTGTTTTCGCCCTCATTGATAGAATCACAATTATCCTCTTCCAAAAACCATCTCATGCGATCCTCATACATACTAAGGCTTCAAAATATAACTTAAAATAATTTACAAATATAATACATAATGGAAGCTCAATGATAATTAAAAATAATACATAACTATAGAAATTACTGACAATATTAATTGCCTGAAACTGTAACAAATATCGGTCGGTCGGAAATATACGTGTCGGTCTCAGGGATTGGTCGGGTACCGAGTCGTGTACGGGTAGATGTGTTATATGCACCACGAATACTCCTGTTACACTGAAATGAAGTTAGCCATGAACCATGCAGCTAGCAGTGAACACACGTTTCAGAAAAAACACGGCAAACGATAATCGTCGGCGAGTATATGAAGGTAATAAGGAAGGTATAAAGACTTTTTTGTAGTAGCGCCATCTGTGAGAGATCTATTTCTTCACTCAGCCAGGTACCATTAATAATTGTAATTAAGTTTATTTGTTGTCTGAAGGTTTCATCACCATGGTATTCAATTATTTGTTATAAGACGTTGGTTAGAATCCAGCGACTTGAAGGATTTTTTCTTATTAATCAAATTTTTTGTATTAATAATAATAAAAAAATTAAAATTAATAATTACAAAAAATTATTCAAGAACATCGTGGTGAAACATCCTGAAATTCAATAAACTTAAATACACATAATTTGTTTAGCTCGCCATTTTTGCGGTCGAAGTCAAAATTTAGTACATCAATCTCAGCCTAAGTGAGTTTCAGAAATAGCATTTTATGTTTTTATGTGTCACAATTATATATCAAAGTTTAAAAAGTTAAGCAGTTATTGTAAACAAAATAAAGTTGATATAGACTATGATAAAGCTAGATTACGTAACGAATGTATAATAATTTCTTATATTTAATATTATGAAATACAAATTATGTAACTATAATATAAATACTTAGCAATTATTCATACCCTTCTAGGCCAATAATGGCCTTAAAATGTTTGTAGCATCTGTTCTGTATAAGAAGAGCAACAACATTTTTGAAAAGAATCTCCATCCTGGTTCGAAGACCGTGAATCCATTTTGATATGATACATTGAAAAGATTACTGTATGATGGCAATGATCTTATATTTAAACAAAAAAAAGGATGATAGGTAATTTTTCTACGGGTCTCCTTTTCAACAGTATTAAAACCATAGACAGAATAGTATTTGAAAATTCCATAGTCTAAGATTTCCGTAGTGGCCGTCATTATGGATATGAAGCGGAAATAATAATTGTAAAGTGTATTGTAAATCCATGGTAACTAGTTACAAATTGCAAATAATGCGATTTAATTTCAAATTGCCTTTATTACTTTCGGAAAAGTGCTATAAATTGAAAGCGATGCCAGTAGGTTTATAATATCGGCTCGCTTTTAAAAAGATCCCTGCAAAATTGTTTGTATTACTAATATTGTACAAGTCTGCAGCATTATACTAATCAATTGTCAATAAAAAAAAACAATAAATTTGTATGTCCATGGCACTCGCGATACAGGGTTTCCCTAGTGCAGGGCTCTCATAGTGTGCGTTAAAAATCATTTAGTAAGTATGTCCTTTATCACGACACGACAAACTATATTGTTGCACAATTGTTGCTCTACGCCTAATATCAATGATATTATATCATGTCCAATGAAATAATCTTTGTCTATTTGAAGGTTAAGATAATAAGAAAGAGATATCCATTTCTACCACAGCATAATAAGACAAGTATGGTAACTCTATAGAAACTTAGTTACGAGGCTTATATGTGTGCTCGCCTTTCGCGCGCCGTGTACACACCCTTTGCGCGCCGTGTACACATCCTTCGCGCGCCGTGTACACATCCTTCGTGCGCCGTGCACACACCCTTCGCGCGCCGTGTACACATGGCATGCGCGCGCACGTACAAGCCTCGCTGCTACTTTTTTTTACAATACTTAGCGACGAGACGAATAAGTCGTGTGCCTGGTGTGGTAAGCGACACGCCTACCCCTGAGTCAAAGATCTGAGGGGCACTGCCACTGTGCCCGATATTCTAAGACATAAGTTGACAAGTCCCATGTGCCTGTAATTCCACCAGCTAATACTAATGCTCTCATTACTGCTTGGCCGCAGAAATAGGTAAGGTTAAGGCAGTACTTCCCTGGACGAACTCTTTCACAAGACGCTTTACTGCTACTTAACCTTTGTAACCGTTTGTATGGAGTTACCATACCTGTCTTTATTCTACTTTGTACAATCAGCGTCAAAATTACCTGGGCGTTCAACCTAACCAAAAGTACCCGAACATTTTATATAAATCAATCTCATGGCAAAGACAAGTTTATCTGTACTTTTATTTGTTTTCAAATGAATTTCAGTTCCAAACAAAATTGCGTTTAGATAATTTTAGTGCTGATATTATCAGAAAAAATGTTATTATAACAAAATGTGTATGAAATCGATGCCTAAATTCGAGAAGTTTATTCTATACTTTAAAAAATCTTTATTCGGCGGCCCTTGCGATTTTGTCGCCTTATAAATAACTTGGTTTCACACTTCATAAAAGTGATAGAACAAAAGTTGTTAGTACTGGTGTCCAAAAAAAGCTCATACGCTATGGCGACAACTTTATCCTCCTGGGGTTCCGTGTACATCAAAATGTACAGATGACAGCATATCGAGCTACACATTGACGGATCTTGTTGCATTGCACTGAAGGTGATATTAGAACTAAAGTGCTAAAAAGCTTGATGTGGTGTTGACTATACATAATATGTGAAGTTATTCAGACCCAGACAACATTATTCCTATGTTCACGTATACGCCTAGTGTACACATTATAATAACAAAATATCGCATTCATATTTTACACTATTATTATATTCTATACCATACGTTACCAAGAAGAAATATTTTTTTCGTACAAAACTGATGGTATATTTGCATATTTATATTTGGAGTACTTACATTTCATATACATTGGCCGTTTAATGCTTTGATTGAGATTATAGACATCCTGTGTAGGCAATTCTTGTAACTTTCCTTACAAATTATATTTATATTTAAGGTGGATGAAAAAAGCAATCCTATGAGATTAAACGTGACAACATGTGTGGCATATTCAAATGTTTAGGTTGGATGCTTGATTTCATTACCAGGTAAAGCTTTAAATAAGTACTATATTACGTATTCTATATTATAACGGACACCTGCAAGCTCATATTCATTAGAGTTTGCGCAATTATTTCTGTAGGTTTCATTTCTTCAAATAGATGATTGTACAAGCACTCCTGTGCGGTGGCACGACTGTGGCGCGGCAGTCGCACATGTGTAGCGCTTCAGTAATTTTGAGTTCACTAATTGTCACTGCTAAAAAGTTTGCAGCGACAATCAGTGGAATTGAGAATTGTCCCGGAATTTTTCGTTTAGTCTTGTGTCCAGTAATTAGACTTTACTGTTCCGGATTCCAAACACTTAGAAGTTGTTTTTACAAACTCAAGTCAATTTGGCACCTAAGCATAGGATAATAAGACAAGTATGGTACTTTTTACAAACGAAGCAGCATAATAACGAAAGGCGCATGTAACGACCAGCGCTATGCAACGCGAGTGCATCGCAAATTATGTGTGCGTCCGTACACGGCAAGCGTCGGGCGCGCACACATATAAATCGCACTGTTGTGTATGAATGGAGTTACCTTGCCTGTTTTATTATACTATGACTTAAGGTTTTTTTACCTCTCAACTATAAATTTATATAATCATCAAAAAGTAGTAGTTATCATTCATACCTTTCTAGGCTGTACACTACCGCATTCGTAAATTATAGAATAAAATAAATTATTGTCTAGGCTAGCAAAATACGTAAGGACGATTTTTTAATTGGTGTTGATAAATTCGAGTTCAAACTATATACATACTTTTAGTCTATTTACCATGCACCGATGCTTTGTTTTTTTTCTAAATAGCGTGGTATTCTTGCTAGTGGTGAATATCGACACATTGTTATCAAAATTTTAAACATTTCTGGTTTCAAAGAAACCTTTAACTAAGTTAATTTGGTATTTAATTTTAACCTTTAAATCAACCTTTAATTTTAATGCAAAATAATAATGCCTTGAGTTAGTGCTCAATGTTCAAAGATTCGCATACATGCAACCATCTGTTCGGCGCAGCCGCACTGTCTGAAACCAACCGTAATATAACCAGCTTTAACAAATCTAGTTTCTCCTTCTATTTTTGCAGTTTGTGGTCTTTAGTAATGAGTTGCTGCATTATTGGTGCTATCTCTATGTTATGTATTATTGGAGCAGTATCAGGAGTTTCGATCGGTTACAATTATGCTATTACTGAATACCAAGAAACAAAGGGTTAGCATTTATATTACTCAATACTACGGGATATCTCATTAAAAAAAAATTATATTTGTAGTCATTGCATGCCACACAAAATCTCTCCAAAGACAAATAATATCATCAATATTATTAGGTCTGTGTGGTTGTTTACAGTTTAAATCCTCTATAAAGAAAATCAAGTCAAGGGGGATGCCCTCGTATATGGAATTTCGATAGTGTCATTTGAATACTTATCCTTATTAGTAATTGGACTGTGAATTATCGTATTTTTTCAAAGTTAGCCTCTTGTATTTGTTTTTAATGTACTTCACGTTTGTCACGTCCAAAGCCACTAAACTCGCCATTCTGTCGTTAACTTTCATAATAATACACGACGCTGCGCCAACTTTCTTTTTTATTCGGTCGAATTAATAATCTCATATCTCTCAGGCTTCGTTATCGACGTTTACCTTCTAATTGTCTTTTTATAACAAATTTCACATACCGAGCACTGAGCAGTGCGGCGGAACTTCGAAGTGTCTTGCGTATTCAAACGTACGCGGTTGACAGTCTTGTCAATTTTATATGGAAATCTTATCGATATCTATTGGATAGACGATTGCTATGAATTTTCTGCTATTTTTCCAGGACAATTGGATTCAAATATAACTTTGTACATTAAGCGAGGTGTATTCGACGATGAAAAGGATGATACTGATCAAGATATAATGCGACGTACTATGCCACCAATAAATGCTGCCAGAGAAAAGTGTAAGAGTTGGTAACGAGTCAACAATATTTAACAGTACTAATATAATACACCAAAAGTAATTCACCTTAACATAGGTACATACACAAATAATAATAACGCACACACTCATAGCCCCGCACTAGGGAAACCCTGTGCCACGGGTCCATTGAACACAAACAACCACAAATTACACCCAAACTCACGAGAGAAATAAATTGTACTTAATAATTATACATGTATAAATAATATATGTTTACAATGCAATATATATTATTCAGATTTACGCAGTAGAGCTCCTTGTGATAGAGTTCGTTCTGGGAAGTACTGCCACTTTATCTATATCCCTACTTACTTACCTATAGCCCGGGAATCGAACCGGGCCCTCGGCGTGGCAGTCTGCATGGTAACCGTTCGGCCACGAAGGCAATTGAATGTAATTATGACACAATTCGAAGTCACGGTAAAATTATATCACACTAGGTTCTTTATTTGCCTTCGTTATATTTTCTTGTTGCGTTTATTATTATGTAATATTAAATACACAAATCAGGTTCAATTTTTTACAACTAATTTATCGATATGGAACTTTTGGTTTTAGTAGCAGTAGTGCTTCTTGTGAATGAGTTCGTTCAGGGTAGTAATGTCACCTTACCTATTTCTGCCGCCAAGCAGTAATGTGAGTATTCCTGTTTTGAAGGGTAAGGGTGCTGGTGAAATTACAGGCACATGTGACTTGTCAACTTATGCCTCAGGGTGAAGGGCGCAGTGGCAGTGCCCCTCAGATCTTTGAGTTTTAAAGCTCTGCGGGGCACTGCAACTGCTATGGACAGACATGTTGCTTAACATTAAGCCCGCGACATGTTCGCCCCTTAACTCGATTTATAAAAAAAAAACAAGAAACAATATCAAGGAGAATTAAGGCGAATTACAATAGCTGCCATTATAGTTCCGGTGCGATGCACGCTCAGATTCGGACGTGCTCACACAGTAAGAATTATATTAATTCGCGATCCGCGCGGTAATGACCGCTACGCGTAATTGACTATGGGTTCCCAACAACTCATAGCCAATGAACTGCTGGCGTTCATACAACACGCCATCGACACTATGGACGAGGTCAGCATCATGCAGATCTGCAAATCAAACTTTAAAGAAGATGAGATTTGCAGTGGCAAGGCGCTGCTTTTCCGTGTGCTTGGCAAGGCCGAGCAGATGCCATCTCGCCGGAGGGATGGAGGAACGAAGAGCATCCAGGACATTATAACGATGTTAAAGGAAACCGACCCAGACGACGTGCCTGCTTTCGTGGCAAAGGAGCTGCACAAGCTGCCCCCTGTCACGTTCGACCATGTCGATGTCACTAGGCTGCTTAAGGACATCACATCCCTGAAAGCAAGTCTGGCCGAAGTTCAATGTAAATTGGAGGCTTCGGATAACACCATCTGTGAGTTACGTGCCCAAGTTGTATTACTGAGTAGTGCAACTTCGGTAAGTAGGTCACCCGAGGCCTGTAACGTGAATACTCGTCGCGGGGCACATAATGCATCTATCGGCAGTTTTGAGTCGGCCCATACGGATGCGTCACCGACCGCTGTCGCTGAGCGCGATTCCCCGCGCCCCGCCCCTCGATTGTCCGCTCCGGCGGAGACGTCACGCGTAAACACGTTGACCCCTCCACGTGATTACGCCGCTGTCGCAGCTGTTAACCGACCCGTTGCTCCACAACCACAAGCCAGGCAGCTATCAACGAAGGGGATGAAAAAACCTCGTGTACCTGTCTCTGAAGTTGCAAAACCACAGAGGCAGACGGACCGGTGCGACGATGACGGCTTCACAAAGGTGGAGAAGAAGAAGAGGAAGCCCACCAGCCGTAACCTGTGCGGCACTGCACCGACAGGGTCCAACTTTTTGCTGCGTCCGGCAATCCCGACAACGCTGCTGTACCTGTCACGCCTGCATTACTCCACGAAGTCTGAGGAGATAGTGGAGTACATCAGGTTGAAATCCAAATACACCCTGAGGGTCGAGCGGTTGGAGTCTCGCCACTACGTGAACTTTAATTCGTTTGTGGTGAGAGTGCCGACCGAACATCTGTCGACCTTCATGAAGGAGGAATTCTGGCCGAAGGGTGTCCTATACCGGCGATTCCGTGGCCGGTTGCCTGACACCAGATGGCGCCACACGTCGCCGACAACCTAAATACGTGTTAAATTAGTAATTAGTGTTATTTTATATTGTTATGTATGTTAGTCTGTAAGGTATGTATCTATGGGTCTCAGTAACCTGAATATAAATAAAGAAATAAAAGAAAAAAATGAAAAAAAAATAGTTGAAAAGCAATTTCTTTCATACAACCTTTGGCTAAACGAGAAACTGATAATTATAGATAATATAAAGTAATTACAAAACACAAAACACACCTACGCAAATTATTGTATTATTATAGCGGGAGTGTTATAAGATAATAAAATAATAATAAAAAACTAAAAACAACGCCGATAAACGACTTTTGCGCCTTTTATTAGAATCTTATGAAGCAGTATAAAAGATCAAATACATTGTTAATTAAAATTTACCTCTTTAAAACAATGAAGCGGGGTGCTAAAATTTTATGGGCAAAATTCAATTCCCTTTTGCTATTATTCTAAAACGTGTAATACTCTTCCACATTGACCTTATAGCACTCATCAAAAGGTCATTGCTATTCAAAGCAAATGAATCTGGTATCTGGGTTTTCAGGTTAATTTTCTCTACATAATGTCGATGGAAATGTTTATTCTTTAAATATTCTAAGATATTACCTAACATTCTAATAGCGTATCCTCAAAATTATTATTTAACATTTCGCTATAATGTAACTCAAATACACGAATGAACTTCTCGAAATTACTTTTGATCTGTGTGTGCCCCAACCAAGAACTATTCTAAATTACTTTTGGTCTATGTGTGACCCAAAGTGAAATTCCATTGCTTTGGTACCCAGTACACGGAATTGCCGTTACATTATTATGATTGTTATTGTTCAAAACGCATCATAAAAGGTTTTGTTTTATAAAACATAAGTGACGATAAGCTCGACGATGAAGCATAATGCCCAACTACATAATGCCTATTTACTCTTGTCTTGAAAAGGCCCTAATTATAACGTTCAGGAAATAAGCCTGCAGGCAGGGAATGTCATTCCATAGCCGTTCGTCATATAAATGTGGAAGTGTTAAATTATTGTTTTTTTACTATTTTAATTTGGCATGAATTTACTTAAATGATCACTTTCAGACAGACGAAACCATCTAAACGGTCATCTTTTTTAATGATTGATCTCTATTTCTCAGAGATATAAAATAAATTAAATCAATGGATCTTTTAATCTGTTCTGAGCTACGCAAAAATTTTTGATTTGTATAAATTAGCTTTGATAGTTTGATGTGACAAACGATAACTTTATTCTTGTCATTAAATATATATAGTAGCAGGTAGATAAATAAAAAAAGTAAGATAATTTATAAATACAAAATTTCGAGGGCCTTACCCTGGGGCAACGTGCCCAGAAGGCTGGCAACGTGCCCAGAAGGCTGGCAACATTTCCGCTTTGAATTGCTAAACTTATTCTTTGGCGGAAATAACTGCCAGTCTTGTGGTCATCGGAGACTTCTACGAGGGGAAACTTCTAATAGAAGTTTCGCCTGCGGCCCCCAGGGACC